AAAAAAATGCCCAATAAATAATGCATTTTCATCAACCATAAAATTCCCATAAAATGTGTATTATTTCTCTTTCTTTCCGCTTCGTGCTTTGATATCCTTGCGTAATTGGCCATTTCGTCTTAATAAATTATCTGATATAAGTTGAGTTACATAATGTTGCAAAGCTTTATAATATATACATATGTACATATATAAAAACATACACATGTACAATGTGCATAAATGCGAATAAATTTATGATTATAATATAAATGATTGGATAATAAAAAATAAAAATTTTAAAGAATTCGAACTTAATGCGATACTGAAGCATCGTCTAAGTGTTATAATACGAGTAAATATGGAGGACAAATCGCCTGAAAATTGCTTTAAGTTATTAAAACTAATTAATTTTCCCTTCCTTATTGAAGGTACTACATTTTTTTTTTTATTGAAAACACAGTTTTTTGTAAAAACGAAATCTGGCAAAAAACTGCGATTCCTACATCCTAAGCCGAAATCGGCGCACAAAAACTAAGCCAACCGATCACCCTGCCATGCACATTTTCCCGCATAAAATGTGCAAATTCATTTGTACACTATAGTGTGCCAGGATTGCGGTGGTATATTGATCACAATCTCGCCGCTTACACTATTAGTGAGGAGAACATCTATGGGGAACTGTCCGCTGCAAAAACAGAAAATGTTTTTATATAAGTGTGTTGTACATATACATACATACATATGCCAAAAATTTATACCGACCCCTGTGGGATAGTTTCGATAGTCGATAGTCACAACCATCGATACTATCGAAAATGTCGAAACTATAGATAGTACTGTCGATAGTACTATCGATAGTTTTGATTTAAAAAGTCTAAAAATTAAACATAACCACTTTTATTGAAAATGACATCAAATTATGTCCCTAATTTTGCTAAGAAACAAAAGTTTATCCGCGATTTTTGGTTTCAAGCAGCATCTGCGCTCTGAAATTATTTGCTGTGCGTTACTAAATGTCCCTTCCGACTCATAAGATGAAACAGGTACCGCCGGCTTTTACTCTTACTGAATAATGTATGCATAAGTGAAAACTATCGATAGTTTTCCTGCTCTATTCTACACCCAACAACGCCCCACCTGGTAAAATATTGCAGCTGAAATCCCAATAGGTCGCTAAAAATTGACTGTATATTTTACCGTATGCTACGATGCTTACGATCTTGTGAGCGAAAATTTTGGAATTCCCAACCAAAGGAGTTGGAAAGTAGTAAAAAATTAATGTTTTTAACTGTTATTTTATGGTCTCATAAAAATTGTGTATATGAGTATTTCCAAACTGGTGTTACGTGGCACTGTTACAAAAAAAAATATATATATTGAAAAAGTCAAAATTTGAAAAGGGTTTATCTAGATTTGCATATCAATTAAATTACCTCTTATTCCGAAAACAAAAATATTGATGATAGTATCGATTTGAGGATATTAGTAAACATATGCGCTGGAGTGACGTTACAAAAAACAGAAGTGGATTTTGACTTCGGTTACAAAATTGCAAAACTCTGCGAATAGGGCAGGACTGTTTGTATAAAATTTTCTGTAGTATATTGGTAATGTTCAAGGTTAATTTTCCAAGTTTTTAATATAGAACTATTTTCTGCTTTATGTTTAATCAGCTGAATTACCTGAGGTGACGGTACTTGGCGTTACGTTGCTAAAATTTCCATTGAAAAAGTTGTGTTAATATTGTTCTTCAAAGAATTTTTAACAGGAAGAAAATATGCATTTTATGTCGAACGTACTTTTTATTTTGACATCAGCACGACCAGCGGCTCCTTTTTTTTGCAAATCTATATCTTATCACGTTTCAACTAAACATGCCAAATGTGAAAGAAATCAGAGCATAAATACCGAGGCATATTCAACAAGGTAGAAGTGGCAATTCAGTCGAGCACTCTCATAGCTGACTGTGATGTCAAAAAATGTAAACAAAGAAATTAACACTTTGTTATGCATTTACCATATTTGATAATACCCTATTTGTAAATATGAAAATATTTAAAATCGCATTAGAATCAGATTCATTTTAGTTATTGGATTTTCGTTTTAATTTAAATGCGGAAATGCATACTTACACAAAATTACACACTAAATGAAACACACTCATTTACAAAACCGTTTTGACAATTTTCTCGCTTTTACTATTCCAATGTTTTTGAGCATTTATTTTTTTATTCAAATACTTAATTCTAAAGTACATATATCTGACATTAAAAAATGTTGATTCTACTAAATTTACATCAGAACTTAACTTCAATAATATAGCAATTAAATTTTTGCAATTCGAAATTTCCATTCCTTTAGATTTATTAAAAATTACTAGCAGTTTTTTATGTCAACAAGGAATTCTGGGTTAGGTTTTATCAGACCACCATTTGAAATTTGGTCTATCCATGTATATGAGTGGGAGATTTTCTTTTCATATTCGGTATGATAAATCCTGCACCTGGGAGCAAAGGGTGCGTTCCCATAAAAGCCTCGTAAACTTACGAGTTTTACACAGTTTAAGACTTTACGAGTTTAAGGGAATCCCTTAAATATTATATCAAAGAAATACCGCAAGCAAAATAAAACAAAACCTCTTACAATAATAAAAACAGCTTGGTGGTTTATTATTTGGATCGTATAATGCTGTTTCTGATTTTTTCGTTTTTATCACAATAAAAAAAAAAAATAATTAAAAAGGGGGGACAGAAAAATAGCACTTTGTTTGGAATTGACCCTTATACGCATACATATGTACATACGATTTGTACTATATTTGAATATTTTGTATGCCAAAATCTAAGCTGGCCGATCACCCTACCATGCACATCCAACTTAATACAAAATGTGCAAATTTAATTATAGACAATAGTGTGCCACGATTGTGCTGGTATATTGATGACTATCTCGCCGCGTACACTGTCAATGAGGAGCACATCCATGGGGATCCGTCCGCTGCAAAACACAAATGTTTTATTAAAGGTATTTATATACATAGATACATATGTATGTATGTTAAAAACATAAAATACATATCGTCGATGTTTTTGCAAAGCGGCCTGAATCAATGTTGTGGCAAAAATAAGATTTGGTAACCCTGAACTCCAGGCATCGATATTTATGCATAAAAATCATAAAATCATTATTAAAACAACAGAGTTGTAAAATAATACATAGATAAAGAAAATACCGCCTACCATGGCAATGCCTTCAAAGTAAAAACGTTTTTTCGGTCTGTAAAATTTGAGTGTCGTAAGATAGGCGGTTTTGCAAACAAAACATCGACGATATGTACATATGTGTGTATCGAAGTGACCAAAGTTTTAAGAGTAATGATCTGATTATGGTAACATAACGTAACTTGCAGGCTCTCACTTATAATTGAACAGCCGAAATTTAACGTAACTTAATGCCACGTCGAATCTGTTTAATTTTGATTTTCTAAGTTACGTTAAGCTAAGTTGGCATAATCAGGCTTTAAGTAGGTAAAAGTGAGTAGGTCATCATACATATGTACATTTTTATTATGCTAAGTACGAATGTATGTACAAATCTATGTACATAGAAATGTGTACTCGCGTGTAGCCAGAAAATATTCTGTGCACATTACCTACTTTTACATTTTCGGAGCAGATGTTTGTGAAGTGGCACAAAGTGCAAACGAAGAATGGAAATATCCGACTCGCTGGCAATGTGTCTTATAAAGCAATTAAGACACGTCTAGCCTACAAGAAGTATCAATTAAACACTTTCACCGCCGCATAACTAAACAAAAAAAAAGACATATGTATGTACATTAAAGTGGTCCAATTTTTATGTGCGGTAAAAAATTTCATCCTAGAAAACGAGGCCCCTTTTAATTTTTTGCTTTTAGTATTTGTAATATCTATGCCTACTTTCAGTTTTCTACAGCTACCAATACAGGGTGCTCAATGACTTTGAAATTCGCTACTGGATCGCTGGGAAACTGGCTAAAATATTTCTGAATTTTATAAAAAGTTATCTACTGTTGCCATGACAACTGAAGCTTGTGATATAATTTTTTTTTTATGATTTAAATTTGAATTTTTTTTTTTTTAATTTAGGTTACTTAACCAATTGCTTGATTAATACATATATGTACGCAATACTCCTAGAGTAAAATATGAGCATCATGAGCATTATCTAAATTTATACTTAGAAACGTAAGGTTTGGTACCAGCACCTCTTTCGGCAAGAGGAAAAATTTTGGAAGGTGCCCCAAACACTATCTTGAAAAATTTTTTTTTGTACCACTCTAATGTGCATATGTACATACATACATTTTATTAAACAAAGTTTTAAGGGAATATCGGGCAATGAAAATAAATAGATGGTACTTATAATTGAAAGCAGTAAGTGAACACCTGAAAAGCCTTAAAGTACATTAATTTGCAACTATATGTATCTACATTAGGGTGGTCCAAATGTACACCGAAGGAACTAAATTTTGGAATTTTCTTGAATTATAGAAAATGGAAAAGAAAAATCCATATACACATGTATTTAATGGTGCCGCCGGACAGTAGTCTGAAATCAAATTCTTCACCGATTTTATTTTTTTAGTGAAAGCTGAAGAAATTTGCCGAGTTTTCTTTTTACATTTTTATTTGTTTATATACAAATTTTAAGTGAAAAATGCAGAGAAAGTAGGAATTTCGATTTCCCTGTTTCTGCTAATGAATGCAAAAATAATTTCGCCAAAATTATTTTATTTTTTTTTTTTAATTTGGGGAAAATTGAAGTAAGCAACATTTTTATGACAAGTCTAAATCCCGTCAGTTCGGTCAGGCTCTACGCTATTTTGCACCCTACATTTTGAATCTACATCACTGTGCACCAGGGTTTCGATGTTTTCCATGTATTTCACGTCAGATTGGAAATGCCTATATCGAGAATTTTTCCCAAATTAAAAAAAAAAATATTTTGGAGAATACCTTTTCTCATAAAGCTGTTATTAAATCGTTAAAAGTTAATATTTTTTCATTGAGTAAGAACATTTTCTTTCAGAAACTAACCCAAAATAAAATTATGATGCATTATTTTTGAACCACCCTAATTTTCATACATATGTATGACGATTTTCCTACAAACAAGCGGTATCTATTATGCCCTTATGAACCATTCATGAAGCGTGTTATACATATGTATATATGTATGTATGTAGGTATGTAGTTGCAAGAAAATGTAAATTTTGGGTGCGTTAAATGCACTTTAATGAAGTTATCATAAAAATGTCTTAATGACAGCGCAAAGGCGCTAAGTTAGCACTCAATATGCAAAGCGCACGCGCAAGCAAGATCTCAAGGCGCGTGGCAAACACGCATCCGCTTTTAAATTCATTCTGGCAAACACACACCCACAAACATATGCAAATCTATGTATCATTTACATACATATATACATATGGTTCATACATACCTATTAAGCAGCACCACAGCAATACGCTCATCGGGTCTCTTGAACGCCACAGCCTCCACTGAAGCACTCAGTATTTTTGCATCAATACGCACCGAACCTTCAGGTACGAATTTTGAAAAGTGTCCCATGGCATAGAATATTGGTTGCTTGTAGATCTCAGCGCGGTCTGAAAAAATAAAGGTTCGATTAAAAAAAAAGTTGTTTCAATAAAATACCTTAATGACAATCAAACTCACTTGTGGCATTCACAATAACTGGTGCATCCACATAGTTATTAGCATAGTTTGGTCCACCTTGTTCATCCAAAATAATATTCCAATCGATCCAGCCATTGTAGGAATGTTGAAAATTATGTAAAAAACTACTCGCATACATTTCACCACGCTCCCACGAGCCAAGCTCGGGACCATGTGTTTGCCATGGTTTGTCTCCTATACAGGATTCGGTATTTAACACAATTTTACCAGGCAAAATCTGAGCCGTCAAATCGATTAGAGTCGGCGCAAACATTTCATCCCAATACCAATGTACTGCCAAGCCGTCAAGATAATCAAGCACACCGAGGCGGGTTCGATTCATCTGAAAATTGGGGTCTTCATAATGAATAGAGAAAATAGTAGCTTACATCAAGCTGGGATAAATAGTTTAACCAATTCGAATAAAGGTTTCGAAAAGATTCAAGCATTTTTTATGCTATCAAATGCTCCAGCGATCTTCGTTTTCTAATTCTTGGGTCTTTTACTACTTAGAGCTTAAAATCTGAATTTTAGTCGGATCGATTTTATTTTAGGTGACCTATGGTGAGTTGAAAAACTGATTTATGCTTGTTATTAAAACACCTAAAAGTTGTTTTTATTGCTTGTAATGCTGTGTGCAAAAGGTATTTGTAAATAAATCCCCTGTCCGACACTACAAACAATTCCCTGGTGGGCAAGAAGGCTCAGATAATAATAGGATCATCTCTAAGGATCTGGAAAACCATCCGCAATTCTTTTAGATCTGGCAAGGAATGTAATTAGAGGCTGAGGGTTGTTGCTGCGGATTTATGGGGCATCCAATTGAACGAGGCCACCCTGAAAAAAGTACAATGACGCCGGGGGCAATCGCAAAGGGATATGCTACTCATATAACTCTTGATCCCTTTATATGGAGTGAAGTATTACCTTTTACTCTAGGTTGTCGTATGAAGAGACTAATTGTTCCCCTTTATACCTGAATGAGTAAGAAAAACGAGGAGTAGATAAAAAAAAAATAAATAAAAAAATTTGCGCCAGCTGAGGTTCGAACCGGGGATCTCAGATTTTCTAAGCGAGTGCTATGTATACTACTATGTCTACATGCCAACGCCGCATATGAAATTTCAGTGATTAAAAGTACACATATTATTGAATCGTTAATTGCACCCGTTTGAGATCAGTCGGGGGCTAATTGATCTGCAATTATTACCGGAAAGGATGATTCAAGACTAATTGATCTTCAATAGTACCCAGATGTGACTAATAACGACTAATTAATGCCCAATTATACCCCATTAAGATTAATCTCGCATTAGTCGCACAATATTTTGCCGGGAAATTAAAGAGCCAATTAAATCTCCCAGGAGTAAGCGTAATAGAATGAATAAGGATCCTGAGAACCGTTGAAACTTTGCCCAGATGTAATGATTCCTCCCGTCCACCTATTCCTGTATCTTTTCATTTCTTTCTTTCTCCATCAAATACAATCCAATCGAGCCAATGCCTAAGCTGGGCAGCAAAAAAAAAAGAAGATTGTTCATATATCACAGTTTAATATAGGAACTTTTTGACTATTTTAGGGAGTACTTAATCTTTAAGCCCTTTAACTTACGTCTTTAAACCAAGCTGGGAAAGAATAACGTTGATCGTCATTTCCAAATATTAAAATGTCTTTGAATTTCGATTTCCGAATAGTAGGTCCAAGGAAATCATTCAACCAAACCGCCTGGAAATATATTTTTCAGCACATTTTGTTTTTAATATTTGTGTGTAAAAGTGCAAGTATATAGAAACCCAATAAAAATTGTGGCGAACGTTCGAAAATTACCTTCGATATCCAATATGCACATCGAACTGAAAACTAACTCATAACCGACCTTAATTTTCTAATGCTCATATTATATTGGAAATACACTCGATATAGGTTCAAAAAAAATGGAACAATAGAGAAAGTGAAATCCAGCTCATTCTCGAAGGGAAATATGAGACAATCACTCTCTCTCATTAAAATTTCAACTCGATAATGGGCTGGATTTCAAATTCATAGCGAAGGTAAAATACCTTGGATAACGACATACGTTATCGAAGGTGAGACTCGAAAAAAATACTCGTTTTCCAATCATTTTCGAACTGTTAACCAAGCCCAATGTTTATTGGATATATATAAATACGTACATACATATGCATTAGGGTTGTCCTTAAAAGTAGGAAGCAAATTTTTACATCAGATTTCCTAAGCCTCAACACCTACATCGATGCTACTTAAGTCGAAGATATCAAATATAAATTTTGATCCCGAGGAGGCGTGTTGCACAAGGGGTAAAGTTCAGATTCCTCTATGAAGACGTCTTAACCGACTCCAAACGGGACCAAAATTTACATCTGATATCTTCGACTTTAGTAGTATCGATTTTGGGCATTAAATGAAAAAAATATTTCATTGAATTGAGTCTCCATAGAGCATGTGGTCTTGAATCCCTTTGCGCCACGCCTTAAAAGACTACAATCAGGCACAAAATTTATATGTGATATCTTCGACTATAGGAGTATCGATTTTGGGTATTAGATGAAAAAAACTTAATTTAATGTGATATATTGACCGTGGTATTACCGATTGAGGGGTTAAGACTGCAAAAAATTGTTCATTTGATTTTTAAAAACCACCCTAATATACATGCATAAATCACCAACTACTAAAAATACTTGAGAGAGTACGCAGTAAATACATACCTGATTCCTTGGTACCCATCCAAGACTCATAAAGTGAACGAAGAAGAAAAACGCAATACCGTTAAGTGGCTCATTGCCAGTTGATATTGCCCAGATCGGCATATTTTTAGCATCCATTAGTTCGATGAATCTGTAAATGAAAAGAGAAACATGAATCAATTTTTAGGTAAATTTATAAATAGATTAATCTATATTCTATCGTTTTGGTCTATATAGATGACATAAGTAAGTACGTATTTATACCTGTATGAGGTATTATTTTTGTATTGAAAACTTGGCTAGGAAGTTTTACTGAAATAATACCCCACGTCCAATCGGATTAAAACGGCAGCGCCTCAATTATTTTGCCGTGCTTGAGAAGACAGTTAAGACGCAAGATACAATTGCTGCTTAAGTGTCTGTCACTTCTGAGATTTCGAAAAAGGATACATCACTTAAGAAACTACAATAGGGGTATTCATACTAGAGCTCTCGATTTTGTTCGAACATTTTCAAACAGCCCGGGTATATGAGCAGCGAGTACTCGCACACTTGTTCAATGTTCATTACTCGAAAATTTTCGAGCATGAGCTCGAGCAATTCGAGTTTTTTCGAGTAATTTGAGCAATGTTTTTTTTTATTGTATGACATTTTTGGTAGCAACTTTTTAAATTTTTCAAATTATTGATATATAATGCAAGGATTGTTTCACTGCTATTTAATAATATAATTTATTTAACATGAATTAGAAAGCAGCTGCTGACAAATACAATTTATTCAATTTTCTTTTGTTTATGAAATTGTTCAAAAACTCGAAAATTTGTAACAAACATTTGAGCAGTTGAGCAATGAACGAGCTTCGAGCGAGTATCGAGCTACTCGCATTGCTCGATACCCGAGTATCTAGAGCTCTAATTCATACCCATTTCTTCATTTTCGCAGATTGGTAGTTGGCAGTTCGGCAAGAGTATTTCTCTATGAACAAGCTTTTTAACTTGTTTCTCTTGGTCTGCCAAAAAGTATTTTGCCACCACTACATATGGTTTTGAAGTAAAACCTCTTTGCGCTAGGTTGGCCATAAAACGAAAAACAGAAACGATTGATAAAGCTTCTTTTACCGCCTAAGCCTTAAAAATATTCAATAATCGCAAACAATAAAAATGTCCTTACATATAAACAGTTGTGGTCAAGAATACACAACGCCCACAATTTTCAATATTCACATTGTTTTACTCACACATTTTTCCGTACATTTTTTATAAAAATTTAACATAAACTACATATGTTTAAACCTTTATGCGAAATTCTACAAATTTCCATTGTCATCAAAATTTTAATATTTCTCAGAATTTTTGAAAAAAGTATTTTGGGCATGCAATTTTTAGCCTACTCAATACATATAAAGAGGATTCTTTACATTAGCCTGGTCAAGTTAGACATTGAAGGTAGCAATATCTCGCTTAAAGCTTGGTACGTACGTTGGGAATACGTTAGAAATGAAATGTGAAAAGATCCATCGATTCCCCATCTGCAAAAGAAAGCAATATTCAAGTTGAAAGGTCACATTCATTTTTTTTTGTATTTCTCAGCGAAAAGCTAGGGTTTATCATAAAAAAACATTAGACAAAAGAAAATCTAGACCAAAGATGGGCGTTTTTGAATGAATTATTATTCAAGTAAAAAATTAAATTTTATCCATAAATTTTCTAATTTTGAATGACGAATAAATTTTTATTATTCATTCAAGCACTTTCGGATGATGAATAAATTTTTATTAACGATAATCTGCAATTTTTATATGAGAATTGAAGTCGGTTTTGTTTTTTGCTTAAAAATTATTTGTTGCAATCTTAACTTGTTTTTTAAAGGTAGCATTTTCTTTTTTGTAATTCAATAAGTTCTGGCGCGAAATGTTGCGTTTAAATTGTGCAGAGTTGCTTTTTGTATATGATACATATATATACATATACGCCATATTAAAACACACCCCGTGGGTCCGCCACTGACTGACACGTAGTTTAACCCCCGAAACACTCCTCGCTCACGCTACAAATCGGAGGAAAAGCTCGGCCAAACACTAACTTATGTGTAAGATCAATTCGCATTATTTAAATTGTATCGTTGGTTCTGTTTTTGTAAAGGTGTGGTTATCAATGGGAATAGGCTGGTGACAATGGGATAGTGGTCGCTACTATATAAAGAGATTTCTATTTCCCATTTTGCTTCAATTGCTATTGAGGGGGAACAGAACGTTAAATCAAAGTAGGACAAAACTGTGATTGTTCAATAAACTTGGATGAAATATTCCCTCTTTTTTATTATTTTTTTGAGTATTTATTTACCTTAAATGGTAGTCAGCCCAGGCTTGATAGTATTCGGTCTTCAGTAATCCTAAGCCAGTCCATTTTCCATTTGATTTCATCCAAGTGGGTGAACTCCATGTCGCAGCCATAATTTTTAAACTCTCTAAGCTAGAAACTTGTTTCAATCGCTGTAATTGTTTTACTTTGACTTCATCGCGAGGATCTAATTTCGTAAAATTCGATAGTGCTGGATCATTCTGAGGTTCTTCGTTATAAGCCCAAGGTGCAAGATCAAAATCACAACCACCAATGGGAGTACGTAGTAGATTGAAACCAATACCGTCCTGATGGTAATAAGATCTGTGCACAGGTGGAGCACACATGTACATATGTACGTTACAAAATAATATTCTTTAATTTCACGAAACTTATTCATACTTATAAATGTGATCCTGCAAATTCGGTTCCAATAATCCCAGTAAATGGGATACAGTTCCCGTGAAAGCGCCACCAAAACCCGTAATTTTTTGGTATTCCACTGACCTATTCACTCGCAACTTTAGGGGACGATTTGAGGGAAATCTGGATGAGAAACCTACACATAATGAATATTTGTGGCAATATGTATGCATTTAGTAGCTAGTAGAGTAAAATTAAAAATATCACGAGAAAATGGTTTACTAACGCTCGCCTGCATCAATCAAAAGCTGGGCAAACGTTTGACGACTGTCGACAACCACTGCAGAACTTTTAAGATCTTCACTACTGATGTTTAAGGAAGTTTTTGTATTGATGTTAGTGTCGTTTGTGTTGAATCGTAAATTACTAACGGCGAAACGGCGGCCTTCCTGCGAGCAGAGTAAAAAGTAAAAAAAAAAATTGGTATGGCGTAAGAGAAAGGGAAGAGAAAATTTAAGCTCGCAATTCCGGTTCGGTTTTAATTTCGTAAACTTACCTTGCTTGTGGAGACGACTACAACATTATTAGCGGTCGGCTGTGGATTCTCCAAATAATCGCAATATGTTGCTGTGCAAACACATACCAAGCCATACTTAGTCCGCCGGGGCTTACATTCACTGCTTGCATTGGCTTGGATTTGCAAAGTAGATTTTAATATTTAATCGAAATTACTTTCTGTTAATTCTGATTTTTTTCTTACCATCGAATATATAGCAAATTAAGCTTACAAGAAAAATACAGTTATTTTTGAGAATCATTTCGGCATTTAAATCACGGATTTTAACTTTCGATCTGTTTTATTTTCAGCTTTGCTTTGTACTTTTCTTTTTCTTTTGGCGAATTAAATCTTACGAAAACGTTGTGTTTGCATTGTTAAACAATGCAAAATACTCGAATTGATAAGCGAGCTGACCGACCCACACTTGTTTGCCATTCAAAGTATACTGGTCAAACGTGGCTCTCGCTCGGCTATATGTATTATGGCTTATCATTCAATGACTTACTTTCCCTCATTTTTATTTACTAATTATTTTTCGACTACCTAATATTATTATATTTTATTGGCCTTTGTTTTGATTGCCTTTTTGTATTCGACGCTGTTTGCTTCATTCATTAGCTTGATGACCAATTTAAATTAACGAATAAAATTTTAACAAAGAGTCATAATTTACTTATTAATAGAAACGAAATATCACTGCTTTTATTTCTAAGAGTAAGGTGGGAGTGCAGCTTATACAATTAGAGCGAAAGAGAGTCTTACTGACCAGTGTTGCCACTTTAAAATATTTTTTAATACCAAAAAATTACACACAAATTTTTTTCATCATTATAACTAGATTTATTGAATTTGCTTGGTTTTTAGCTACTCAAATTAGCAGTAAAAATTAAAACTACACAAAATCTTGTTTACAGTATTTTAATAAGAATTCACACCAATCTTTAAGGTTAAACAAAACAAATTCGGACTTTTAAATAAAATAATTACCGTATTGTATAAAAAAATGTTGTAAAAAATTAAAATACTTTTGAGATTAATTCAATAAAAAAAATTCCAAATTTGTTTCAATTTGCTGACACTCACCCTGTTTTACCAATACACTCACAATTCGCAAATTGCCTATCACAAATTTTTCTTTCAAGACGATAAGTAATTTCTCGTTCTATTTCAACAGCTAATCGGTCATGGCTTTGGGACGTGAGTTTTTGTGTTGCAGAAAATTGTCTGCTTAACAAAATATAGAAAAAACAAAGAAATCTTATACGTGTGAGCAAAGTGAAAGTAGTGTTTTTTACGTGTAAACGCAAATTAAGTGAAAAAAATTGCAATGCTCAATTCGGTTGTTTTTTTGAAAACATTTTTGTCTACCAAAAGTTTCGTCAAACCAACCAAGCTACCAAAGGAGAATGAAGCTACCTATTTTGGTCCAATTATACCAACGCTGCAACGCTGCTACTAACAAAACCTTTCATTATTGAATCATGGTAACGAGTGCAGTGTACCTGGGTGTTCGATTAGTCGCCTGTTTTTTCAAAAACCAGCTTTCGAGTTATTCAAAAATGACAACTTCAAAGAAACTGGTTCTCAACCGGTTTTATTTTACATATTATTAGCACTTACACAGAGAAAATGATTCAGGTAAAACCCATGTATTCAAAACAAATTTTAAAACAAACATTTTTTAAACAATTTTACTTCATACAAAATTAAAAATACACTACTTGTATAACAGACTTTAAAACGTAAGCTTCGCAAAATAAGAACGAACATTATATCATATTTTGTCTTTTGACTGAGGAGAACATTTGAAATGAAAAAAATACACCAAAAATGTGCCTTTTTAAAACTAAAATGAAACGTTTTAGAATATTGTTCCTACAAATTGTAGTGCGACAAAGTTTCCCACCAGAAAAGTAAAACGAAACACTAGTAAAATAAGAATTAAAATTTCGTTTCAGTCAATTAAACATGAGAATGGTTTAAAACGAAAACGTTTAGTATTAGAATTTTCAAAGCAACTTATAAAACTGAAATACTTTTCACCTGTTTGCATTAGTTGCGTTTTTTTACTCATTTCCAGCAAAATCCAGTAAAAGGTTTTACGAATTTTCATGTTTTGGCGTTTTTGTACGCAAAAACTTGCAAAGTAGGGGAAATTGAGAGAGCGAAAAATTACAGTTGAAGTTGTAAGTTTTTACTGGATTTTACTGGATAAATTTTTTACTTGTAAGAATTTGCCAGTACGAAAAACAGCTGATCGCATGTTGCTGGATGAAATTTAAACTAATAAGGAAACTGTTTGTGGGTTTTTATTGTAGAATTTCACAAAATAAACCTAATTAAATACAAAATATATTGTTTTATTAGGAATTTGCTGCGAATAAACAACCAATTTATCAGCTGTTCATGCAACTTGCAAATTATTACTGGAAAACGTTCAAGTACTTTTTTTGCAAATTTTTTCTATGAGAGAGAATTCTTAGAAATAAAGTTACTGGAGAGTTGCTAGCAAGTTACTGGACAATTTGTAAAAAAAAACACAACTATTATTTGTCAGAAAAATTTTGTGCAGATGATTCAAGCTACATTCATACATACATAGCAAAAGATGCGGAAATATGATATCGTTACGCCACTTAATGAAAGGAACGTTTCTGATACGGTACCCTTTTTTGATTGCCAGTGCCCTTAGTCAGCGCTTCTGTGTTCTCACGCTTGCTGTTACAAGACACCACAACTGCTATTCAACGGCTGCGTCGGCAGCGACAGCGTTTTGATAGCTTGAGGGTAGCTTAGTAATAATAACTTTTTGTATTTAGTAGTTAGTATTGTCATTGGTACTCACTGGCGCAGACCTGGGTCGGTCATAATAAACTATTAAAATGTAAACGGATTTATTTTATTTAACAAAGGAACAAATATCCTATCTGGCGCCCAAACGAAGGGCTAGTGCAACTACAGTAAATCACGAGAAGACGAAGTGACGTTTAGAAAATAACCACATCAACAATCAACTGAGAGCAGAAGGAGAATAGCTAATTAAATATTGCAGACCGGAAATTGCAGCTACCAGAAAAAACGAAAAACCATGAGATTAATGTAAGTTGGGAGACTCATTGTTCTGTTCAAATTAAAACAAATTGAGTTTCTGAGTGAATATTTAAAGTAAGACAAATGCTTATTAAGTGAATATTTAAATCAGATCATGTAAAATTCTTGAGTGAATATTTAAGTTAGAACAAAATTTTCGAAGACAAATTTTTTAATAAAAACGAGCAAATTTTTGAGTGGATATTTAAATTGATAAAAATTATTTATTTGTTGCCCGGTATATGAACGGACCGACGGTAGACCTAACTGACCTAATTTCCAACTTCGAAAGTATTGACCTAACAGAACAAACGGAAATTAAAATGAACGAAGCACAGCTAACACATGTAGTAAACGCGGCCGTCTCCGCCGCTTTATGAATGCAGAGACGAGAGTTTGAGGATAAACTTAAGGTCATGCAAGACCAAATTGTGAATTTATCTCAAAAGCCAATAGTTGCGAAATATGAAAAATTAGGATTATATCAGGCCGAACCTGCGAAGAATCGCTGGACGTGGTAAAAACATTACCCGAATTTTCAGGACAACCCGACTGTTATGTGTCCTGGCGTGAGGCGGCACATAACGCATACGAAATTTTCAAAGGCTTCGATGGTAGCTCACGACACTATCAAGCCGTTACCATTATACGCAATGAAATCCGCGGTACTGCCGATGCGCTCTTGACATCGTTTAGCACAGTCCTCAATTTTGACGCCATTATAGCGCGTCTGGACTTCCCGTATTCCGACTAGCGACCGACATATTTAGTGGAGCAAGAGCTATCCACATTAAGGCAGGGCTCTTCTAGTGTCCTGGAATTTTACGACGAGGTCGACAAAAAACTGTCGTCACTCGCCAATAAAACAAAAATGTCCCACGAAGCGAACATTGCAGATGCAATTAATGAAAAATATCGGGAAAATGCTCTTAGGGTGTTTATTTCTGAGCTCAGAAAGCCCTTATGTGATATCCTTTTTGCATCGAAACCTAGTGATCTGCCGTCCGCGTTGGCACTCGCTCAGGTGGTCGATGCAAATCCTGAACGTTACATTTTCGCGGCCAGTTTCGCAAATAGGTCAACCGACGTCACAAAAAAATCAGAAAACAGCCAAAGGGGTAACAGGGACAACAATAGTCAGAACACGTACAATAGGGCAAACCCTGATAACCAAAAAAATCCTCATTTCGTGAGGCAATATAGGAATAATCGCCAAGCAAATTCTAGCCAGCATCGGCAGGGGAAAAATCGGGCCTCACAACCTCTGCAGGAACCGATGGATGTAGCCCCCTCGTCATCTCGCCTACGACAAATTACAAATTCTACAGGAAACCAAAATGAACAATTTAGGAAGCGCCAGGCGTCCTCCGACCGGCGTACGGGACCCAAACTCCAAAGAGTGAATCATCTGAGCCAAACTCACGATAAAGAGTCTTGCTCAGAGTCATATGAAGATTTGTCTGAGACAGTTGTTGAGGACCTAGAAGCAGAGGAAGTGAATTTTTTAGGGGAAGATCTCTCCTGCCCTGGATTTCTAAGACACTAGGGGGGCGGGAAATAAAGTTTCTTGTCGACACGGGATTTTGTACAGTGAAATCCATACATGGATTCACAAATATTACAAACAAATGCAAAGTGCACTTATTTCTAGTTGTAACAGAGTTCTTCATTTTGCCGGATCTAACTATGTTTGATGGGATCGTAGGCCTAGACCTGCTTAATAAGGTTCATGCGAATATCAATTTAAAAAATGACATTATAGAATGCGACTCTGGAGAAGAAAAAATTCAATTTCTCAAGGGTCAAGATGTTAGTCATCTCCAGCTCCAGACCGAGTCAGTCCCGGTGAGCATAAAAGAAAATTTTTACACTATGATCCAGCGCGTATCTGGGGTTTTTGCAGACCCCAACGAAAAATTACCATACAATACCAATATTGTGGCCACAAACCGCACTAGGGATATTGAGCCTACTTATGCAAAGTTCTACCCATATCCGCTGGGTGTTGCAGATTTTGTAAAAAACGAAATAAGAGACCTCCTACAAAATGGCATTATACGACGTTCACGATCACCCTATAACAATCCCATTTGGGTAGTGGATAAAAAAGGCCTCGATGAAAACGGGGTAAAAAAGAAAAGATTAGTAATTGACTTCCGTAAACTGAACGGAAAAACAATAGAGGACTCATACCCCATCCCAAATGTAGTGGTAATACTATAAAACTTGGGTAAGGCCCAACTCTTTACAACCCTGGACCTGAAGTCCGGGTTTCACCAAATCGAACTCGCCGAGCGAGATCGCGAAAAAACCGCGTTTTCAGTGTGTAATGGCAAATACGAATTCTGCCGTCTTCCCTTTTGTCTGAAGAATGCTCCAAGCATTTTTCAGAGGGCGATTGACGACCTCCTTAGGGAACATATTGGCAGATACTGTTTTGTTTATATTGACGATGTGATAATTTTCTCAATTTTCTCACAAGACAAGGAAGACCATTTGAAACATGTAGAGGCTGTTCTGAAAAGCTTGCTTGAAGCAAACATGAGGGTCTCAGTAGAAAAATCTAAATTTTTCAAGACAGAACTCGAGTACCTTGGCTTTCAAATATCGAAAGGAGGAATAAAAACCTGCCCACAAAAAATCGAAGCAATTCAAAATTTCCCGCAACCAACAACATTAAGAGGCGTTCGGTCTTTTTTAGGAATGACAGGTTACTATAGATGCTTCATCCGCGACTATGCAAAAATTGCAAAACCTCTAACCAATATCCTAAGAGGCGAATTTGGTAAGGTATCTGCCTCTCAATCAAAGAAAATTAAAATTTTATTTGACCAAGACCAAACTAACGCATTTATTAAACTAAAGAATATACTTGCGTCAGAAGATGTCATGCTTGCCTATCCAGACTTCAAGAAAGCTTTCGACCTAACTACTGACGCTTCTTCACACGCCCTTGGCGCGGTTCTCTCTCAGGGAGGGAGACCTATTACGATGATTTCAAGGAAACTCGATAAAAAAAAGAGGAGCATTTTGCCACGAATGAGCGGGAGCTCTTGGCCATTGTATGGGCTCTTAAAACCCTTACACATTATTTGTATGGTGTTAGGGAGTTGAACATTTATACTGATCATCAACCCCTAACCTTTGCGGTATCTGATCGCAACCCAACCCCGAAATTAAAAAGGTGGAAGGCTTTTATCGAAGGATATAATGCAAAACTTCACTATAAGCCAGGGAAAGACAATTTAGTAGCCGATGCTTTATCACGCCAATTTATAAATTCCTTAGACCCTGAACCCGAATCGGATGCCGCCACTATTCACAGCGAGCAATCGCTCACCTATACGGTGGAAACAGTCTCTAAACCAGTAAACGTCTATAGGAATCAATTTATTCTGGAATCAGGCCAACACCCGTCCAAGAGAACATTTTTCATTTTCGGAAACAAATTACATCACTTTCTTACATTTCCTGATAGCGAAACTTTGTTCAAAATGCTGCTAGAAGTAGTGAAATCTGACGTAGTCAATGGTATTCATTGCGAGCTACCTTTGCTAGCACAGACTCAGCATTGGCTGGTAAACACGTTCCCAAACACCACATTCCGCCACACAAATAAATTTGTTACAGACATTTTTGATCCTAACGAACAAATGGAAATAATCGCACAGGAGCACAACAGAGCTCAACGTGCTTCCCAGGAAAATGTCAAGCAAATACTTAATGACTATTTTTTTCCAAGAATGGAGAAAAAAGCTAGGGAAGTAGCAGCAAATTGTAAAATCTGTGTAAAGGCTAAATACGTTAGGCACCCAGTGAAGCATCCCATAGGCAAAACACCTGTTCCCACATTTCCCGGGGAAATCCTACATGTCGACATTTTTTCGACCAATGCCACTTACTTCCTTACTTGCGTGGACAAGCTGTCAAAATTTGCGGTAGTGCAACCCATTCCCTCACGAACCATAATCGATATTAAACCACGCATTTTGCAATTGGTCAACGTGTTCACAGGAACTAGAACTATTTCCTGCGATAATGAAAAATCGCTTAATTCAAATACAATAAAATCTTGCCTCAGAGATCTCTTTAACATCGAAATCGTAAATTCTCCACCCCTGCATAGTACTTCTAATGGGCAGGTTGAGAGATTTCACAGCACCATAGGAGAAATTGCTAGGTGCCTAAAACTGGAAAAAGGAATTGAGAACACTACGGACCTAATTTTACTTGCCACAATTGAATATAATAAGAGCATTCATTCTGTAACAGGCGAGAAACCTAAAGATACCTTCCATTCGTGGGTATGTGGGACCGGAGCCAAGAATAGGGTAGAACAAGTATGAGCAGCGCTGTCTTCGGCTATGCCGAAGGCTTCATACCTTTCATGAACATCTGCAAATTTTACTTTGACAGATTACTGCTTTTGAATACATCTGGATACATCGATAGAGGAGTTACATACTTATATAAAAAATCGCATCTAAACAATCAGAGGTATGGAAGATATACTTTATATGGCACCAATCTAAGTGATTTTCACTGCTATGTGATCGGTATGTAAACCGGTAACACAATTTATTGGGTTTAGTTTCCTACATAAAGGAGATATATCGCAAAAACTGGTATCTGAACAATCAGTGCTATAGGAGATAAAGCTTATACAGCATAGATTTTGACGATTTTCTCAGTAGACTTTGTATTATTATTTATACAATAGCTTACGAAATTTATCGGTTTTAGCTGTCCAAATAAATTAGTTTTACATTAAGACCCCATATCTGAACAATCAGTTATATGGAGGCAATATATAAGTTACAGTGACCCAATATTTGTTAGTTTTACTGTAAACTATCTGTTGATAATGAGTGAAAATAGTGCGAAATATCATGTTTCTAGCTGCATATATTTAGAAGTTATAACAAAGAATCTCATATCTGAACAATCAGTTGTATGGGAGCTATATGTAAAAGTGACCCGATCTTTGTTATTTTCACTGTAAGTCTTCTGTTGATAATGAGTGAAAACAGCGCGCAATTTCATGGTCCTAGCTACATAAATGGATGAATTATAACGAAAAATCTCATATCTGAACAATCAGTTGTATGGGAGCTATAGGTTATAGTGACCCGATCTTTGTTATTTTCACTGTAAGTCTTCTGTTGATAATGAGTGAAAACAGCGCGAAATTTCATATTCCTAGCTATATAAATGGAGGAGTTATAACGAAAAATTTTATATCTGAACAATCAGTTGTATGGGAGCAATAGGTTATAGTGACCCGATCTTTGTAATTTTCACTGTAAGTATTCTGTTGATAATGGGTGCAAGTACTGCAAAATTTCATGTTCGTAGCCCCATAAATGGAGAAGTTATAACGAAAAATCTCATATCTGAACAATCAGTTGTATGGGAGCTATATGTTATAGTGGTCCGATTCTTTCGGTTCCGACAAATGATTAATAGATTATAAAAATACCCCCACCTACCAAATTTGATCCGGATATCTCGAAAACTGAGAGACTAGATTGCATACAAACAGACGGACAGACAGACAGACGGACATGGCTAAATCAACTCAGCTCGACGTTCTGATCATATAAGTATACAATTTAATGGGTCTATCTCTTTTTGTTCTGGTACTTACAAACATCGGACCAAAGTTATAATACCATTTCATGCTCATGAAAGGTATAAAAAGCCCAGGAGGCAACGCTAAAACCCATAACAAAAACAGAGTAGCAAGAACATTTGCGGTGGGAGAAATGGTGCATATTAAGTCAAATAAACGTCTAGGAAATAAATTCACCCCCTTGTATGTAGAAGGCACACTTCAGGAGGACCTGGGTTCCACGGTCAGGATTAACGGTAGGATAGTTCACAAGGATAATCTTCGTTAGCTAAAGCAAGAGAACAATTTTTGACTGTAAGTCTTATATTCTCCTTTACATCTGTCTTTCTTTCTTTTTTTCCGTTTGCTTCCTTTTTATTTTTCTTTCTTTAGCGCTTTGACCCTTACGCTTTTCATGACCTCGGTTTCGACAAAATTGTGGACTACTCACACTCAGACTACTTACCGATTGCAGTCGGCGATGTAGTTTTATGGGACTCATATGGTTACATTAGACATACGACAAACCTGTCGGCCTACGCAGAATTGACCATTGACACCCGCGCTGCACTACGACTGTACCCACGTAGTCACATGACGAAACTGATGATGGCGGACTTGGAACGAATCGAAAAGCTTCTTCGAACAGTAATTGGGCCAGCAAGACACCAACGTAGCCTGAACATCTTGGGGACTGCTCTCAAGGTTGTAGCAGGCACGCTGGACTTCGACGACTTTCAAAAGGTGACGATAGAACTTGATAAACTTAGGGACAATAACAATCAGCAGGTAGAAATAAACTCAAAATTTCAGGAACAAGTTACCGATTTAACTAATACGGTAAATGAAATTTTAAAGGCAGAAAAACGGGAACAAATAGATACCGGGCACCTTTATGAGATTCTTTTGGCCAGAAATAGGGCTGTGATTACAGACCTTGATAATATTATCCTATCAATTGCTCTAGCAAAACTAGGGTTACTAAATCCAATCATTTTTGATAACGCTGAAATTGATTCAATCCTGAAGACCGAGTCTCTCAACAATTTAACTGTAACTTCTTAGTTAAGTATCCTAGACCTAAGATTATTTGTAAAAATTATTTTACCTATAGCGCACAACAACAAAATGCTATCACTACAAAATAACGCTGTAGCAGTTTGTGGTAAAGATATATATTCCTTAGACGACTGTGCAGGACCAGCTATGAAATTTTGCAGAAAATCGAACATCTCTACTTGCGCTCAACAATTAATAGCCAGCACCACAGCAAATTGCAGAACCACATTTGGCGAACTAGATCCTGTGCAAGAGGTTGATGACGACATGGTCATTATAAACGATCGCACCGCCACAGTAATATCTAATAATGAAACTATATCGCTGAAAAGGGGTACTTACCTGGTGACGTTTTCAGACAAGGCCAGCGTGAATGAAACAACCTTTGTCAATCGAAATGCCCTTCAGATAAAGGTAGCAGAGATCCCGTGGGCCACTCAGATAAACATAACTGGACCCGATGACAAAATGAGCCTACCTTACTTGCGACATCGGGCACTAGAAAACCGCCAGCTGATGGAGCAACTAAATGATGGTTATAAGACAGGATTGACAGCAACATCAATAATCCTTATCATACTGGCCATCATCGGCGTGCTGCTTCTCATGATTACTTTCTTTAGAAAGCAAAATAAACAAGCTGCAATAGTAAGAGTAGTAGAAAACATCACGCAAGCGTCAACTAGAAGGTCCGAGGACGTCCCTCGCTTAGGAGGGAAAGAGTTATCACGGGAAGCACAGTCAGGTTTGCCATTACCTAAAATTGTTGCGCGTGGCCTGACTCAGCAGGATCGGCACAACAAGTAGCGCAGACAGTCGAAAGAATGCAAGCAAGTTTAAAGTTACATTCAAAAGTTGCCAGTGCCCTTAGTCAGCGCTTCTGTGTAGTAGTTAGTATTGTCTTTGGTACTCACTGGCGCAGACCTGGGTCGGTCATAATAAACTATTAAAATGTAAACGGATTTATTTTATTTAACAAAGGAACAAATATCCTATCTTGTACATTAAGGTGGTTTGTATGGATAAACAATTTTCATCCTAGATTACGGGACATCCCCTTAGTTTTTTCCTTTTAATATTTGTTATATTTATGCCAGCTTGCAGTTTTCTACTGCAACCAATACAGGGTGCTCAATGTCCTTGAAATGCGCTACTGGATCGCTGTGAAACTGGCAAAAATATTGGTGATTTTTATATAAAGGTACTGTTGCCATGACAACTAAATATTGTGATAAATATTTTTTTGATAACTTAAATTTGAAATGTACTTATGTTACTTAACCGCTTGTTTAATTAATATATGTATACAATACTTCTAGAGTAAAATAAGAACATCATGAGCATCCTCTAAATATATACTTAGAAACGTAGGGTTCGGTAGAAACACCTCTTTGGGCAAGAGGAAAAACTTTGGAAGATGCCCCAAACCCTATCTTGGAAACATCTTTTTGGACCACTCTAATGTACATAAGTATAGCCACGATACAAAAAATAAGGTAGTTTCCATGATGCAATGACTTTTAGAAGATCGTCTCACTCCTTCTTATCGGCCATGTTCGTTATCTGACAGAAATCGTGTCTCGTATTTTTTGTTAAAATCTATTTGCATATGAAACCTTTTTCCATACAAAACAAGCGATTGAATAGCAGCTTTTGGAACGTTCGCCCAACTCAGTAGCACAAATGCTGATTACTCGTCCTTGCAAAGGATGGATCAATGCTTCGAGAAGCAAACAAATTTTCTGAGGCACTCCGCATATTATGCGCCGATTCATAGTAGTGTTCTCGTTTCGGCATATAGAGAATGAAGCTTTTATGCCGAACACATGTATTCAGTGAAGCACTGTACATTATCTATGATTCATAACCATGTTTTCGCCTAATCATAAAAGCTTCATGAATCGGAGCGCCAACCAATGTAAGGGTGGGCTCACACAGAAAGCCGAGTGGCGCCGAGCGAAGCAAAGCGGAACGAAACGAAGCTGGTGTTCACACTGAACGAAGCGAAGCCGAGATTTTCTCATGGACTCTGCTGCAAAGACGCCATAAAACTTATCGTCAATGAAAAGCGGCAAAAATATTTGCTAAATTTTATTCAAAAGATTCGTTGTAAATTTAATTTTTATTTGAATATTTTGATATCTTGTTTGCAGCAGCGTCATGAAATATGTATAAAAATTAAATAGAAAATTCAAAATCAAAAACTGCTTTGTTTTCATCTCCAAAACGCGTATGAAAAAGCGCTTGCTGTATGAACACTTTCATATAGCCACAGCAATTTAAAAGCTTCAATCAGCTCGGAACGGCTTCCCTCGGCTCGGCAGTTATGTGTACTTAGAGTTGTCACATAAGAATGGGTGCATTCCAAAACGTCAAAATACAAAGCATACGTGTCTTTTATTTCTAAACCGCATCAGAAGAAAAAGTCTAACTTGCACAACCTAGTATAAAACTAGCATCTAACCGTGGTTGCGCACTTTTAGAATTACAATCTACTAAGGTTTAGAAATAAAAGAGACTGATGCATTGTATTTTGACGTTTTGGAATGCATCCAATAATCTGTTAAACGTGCTTTGCGTGTAAGCGGTTACCCAACGCATAGCACTTAACATGTAGAATTCTGCTGGGTTTTGATTTTTACGTAAAAATGGTATAGCAGTGCAAGTATGCTTAACTGGACTATAATGCGCTTGCCGTTTTGAAATCGTCCTTTGTTTACTTTTTTGTGTTGGAAATAAGAATTGTTAGTCGCTTCTATATTAAATAATTGAAAATAACCGAATGAATGAAGTCGACACTAAAGTTAGTTGCTGCTTTTTGTCATAATTTTCAATGGAATGGCGACAACTAGCTTTGTAATCGACTTTGTTTCGACTATAAATATGCGCCAGTGTATGTACGAGAACGACTTCTCAGTAATTCCTGTAAATCTGATGGGTACTAGAACAGACTAATGAGAGCAATGAGATTGGCATCTCTCTCTGAAAATGTCACATAGCGAAAAATGAAAATACACCAGACTTCGGGATTAGTCCTGGGACTTAGATATTCATTACTTTTCAACAACTTAAATCGAAAAAAATTGTTTCTATATTGTGTAAGAAGCTCTCCTACCCTAAAAAAAAACTATTCTATATATATAAATGTGATTGTCTGTTTGTTTATTACCTTATAACTTTTGAACCACGGCATGGAATCGCACGAAACTTTGCAGGCTGATTTGTTTTTACCCCGGGGAGGTTATAGGTATGGTTTTATTTGTAAATATGTCGTAAATTTTCGCAAGGAGGCGTGGCACCTCCAATGGGTCTGCAAATGTTTAATCAGCTATAACTGCGGAACCGTAAGTCAAAAGAACTTGAAATTTGGTACGAAGACATGTCTATGGGAGAAGCTGATAGTAAGGTGTATACAAATAAGTTTATAGAAGGGCTCATGGCACATCGCTTTGGCGTGGAATTTTGTTTCAACTGGGGGCGTGGCACATAATATCGGCGTGGAATTCTTAGTCAGTCATAACTTGGGGACAATAAGTCACATGAACTTGAAATCTAGTATGTAGACAAACCTATGGTAGGTTCTTATGGTAAGATATACATAAATAAATGAGTTTGTAGAAGGGGGCGTGGCTCATCTCATAGTCATGGCATTTTTAATAAGTCACATAAAATTGAAATTTGGTATGAGGACGTATCCATGGTAGGTGCTTATAGTAAGGTACATGTATATAAATGAGTCTCTAAAGGTGGGCGTGTGGAAAGGTGTGGAATTTTTTATCATCTACAACTTCGGAACCACAAGTCAAATGACCCCTTTAATTCCTTCTGATACACCTTTCGAATTTAAAACACTTCGGTTTTTAGTTGGCTTAGCTTTTGTAATGACAATAAACAAGAATGCCTTATAATAAAACCCAACTCTTTATCGAAAATAAAATATATGATAATTGCATTGGAAAATGCATATATGTTAATAGATGCTCTGAAGTACGAAAAACATGCTTTGGAATAATATTAGAGTTATTATTCGTAAAAAATTAGATAGTAAAAATTTAGTTATTACAATACAACGTTGGTATTTCTACTATTATATAATTTATTGGAGATATTTTAATATAAATAAAAACACCTGGTGTGCCAAAAAAACTATTATTGCTTTTCATTGCATACCGCGGGAAAAGCTAATAATAAATAAATGGGCTTGAAATCTACTTTTTTATTTAAAGTGGCGTTTTTATTTTTTCTGACGTTAGGATTTATTCTAGAGGACTTTGTAATTTCAAAGATATGATTGATACCAAAAATTATTTAAAAAATTCAATGCAATGTAGAAAAAAGTATGGGAAATTCATTTAGGGTTTAAAAAATTTAAATTTTTCGGATTCACAGGGACGAATAGGTAATTTTTTAAGCTGATAAAGTTAGAAAGACGAAATTCGAGGAGGTTATCGAATTTATATAAGTCCTTAACATATAGTTTTTTTTTCAAAAACAAATATTGCGAAACTTCACGGATAAAATTTGAAAATGACATTTTCAAAACTTACCAGTACCTCTTCTTCTCTACTTACATACTTCTTCTCTAAGCACATTTCCCTGAATTTTTTTAATCTTTTTTATATTACTGACGTCAGAGTGAAAAACTAAAAATGCAATTTTACTATATTTGGCCCGTGGTTTCGCGAATATATTGATATTTGTGTTTAAAACTTACTATCGCGCGGTGGTATATGTATAATGAGCTAGACATTTATAAAAAAATATTAATTATTAAATAAGAAAAGAAATATAGCCAATAATGGTCAAGAAAATGAGTTTCTATTATTGCCATCAGCGCAAATTAAAAATCTCGAAAATCCCGGAATTATGCCGCGATCCCGAGATCCTGAGATTAACATTCCTAGTCCCGATATCTCCAAAAATAGTTTTTTTCTCAAATAAAATATTGCTTATAAAAATTCACCTCGGATGATAGAATAGTTTACGCCTAAAAGGTCTCAAAAGAATGTTTAAAAATTCTATGAACGGAATCAAAATAAACAGATTTAATGAGGTATTTTCAAATCAGCGCAGGTCACGAACTAGTTCCGAACTAGTTTAGCAGATGTCTTAAAATATAATTCCGAACAGTCGCGTTATTCTTGTCTTGAGAGTGATGTAAAAAACGTATTTTTGCAAGAATTTAAATTTTATTGCGGATTCCGATAGAATACCCAGTATAAATGTTTCTTTGGGTGATAAACCCATAGAAATGGGCGTGGCAGTTAAAGTTAACAAAATGATGATTTTATTGTCGATTTCGGTAGAATATCGTAATTTTGTCTTCAAATCGAAGAATTTTCTAGAAATGGGCGTAGAAATTTTTTGCCCAAAGTTAAAAAATTTAGATTTCATTGTGGATCTCGATTTCGACAGAATATCTATGCACCAACAACGTTTAATCCGCAACTTTTTTATTTTTGTAAGATAAGTCTTTTTTTGAAGTTGTTTCAAATGTGTATACAACAGGTTTTTTTACAAGCCTCAGTATGTGAAGAAGGGAATAAATCAAAAATGGTAACTTTCGCAATTCATAACATCAATAATATTGTCTTATCTTAAGTAATGCCGAAGATATGTACTTTAAAGTAAAGGTATATTTTTGAAAATGGGTTATATACTTGTGTAGCATTGCCGGACGCTCAACTGATGGAGTTTTCGTTTAGAATAAGGGCAAACGGTGAGAAAATTTTCTGTTCGTTTCTTAAAATGTCACATTCTTCTAAGGCAAAAAATGTACATTTTCTACCCTTTTAAGATTTGTCAGGGGAGATGGTTGCCCAAAACGATAATATTGTGAAGTGCGTGAGCTGGACAATGTCAAGAAGGTAAAACCATGCCCTTTTACAGGGTTGAGTGTAACATCAAACACATTTTGCACCGTGCCAGGAAAACATTTTTTGGTAGAAACGAAAACAACATTACTAAGTTTTCTGGGCCATGTTGACTTATTTGATGTTTAAAGGATTTTATACTGAAAGTGCCAAATACCAAAATTTTTCAAATTCTTAAAATGCTCCATATTACCCAGAGTGTTTGTTATCTTTGCTTGTGCCATGTGGCTTCTAAAACCTAGTTATAGTATGTTTTTAGAAGGAACAGCTAATCTAAAATCGGCTGCGTTTATAGATTTCGGCATCGTGCATATGTTTAAATTGCATATATATCTTTAACAGAATCAAGATTTACATTAAAAAAGTATATATAAATGTGTTTATTTATTTACAAGAGGTATCTAAATTTAGGAAACTTTCTCGAGGCCCTTCCATATAAATCTTTATATCTCGTATAAGAACGTTATATCAAATAAATAAAAATACCCGTATTATAGCAGAAGAATCGCTCTTTGAAATGAACTCAGTATTGAGTGTATACAACAATTTAAAAGCAACAAATGACACCTTGCTACTTATACATACATACATACCGGTAGCACCTATGTTTTTTTAATACTCGTTTCTGGTCAACTACATACAAATATGGCCAGATTTCCATTTCCACTAGGCGTTAAATGACAAGCTTTCAATGGAATATTTGGACTTAAAAAATTGCCCAAAATAGTGCAGTTCTGCATAAGTTACAATTCAATAACGATACTTTTCTAAGCCGTTAATTCCTTGGATTTCATTTATAAAGAATCGTATGTATAGATTTTGCAGGTATCTGGAACTTGATGGAGCCCCGTACTGTATCTGTGATGCCTACATCAACGCTTGCATAACCACTAAAAAATTTAATAAACAAATCGTAAAAAAATATTGTAACATTTGAAAATCTATACGCAAACCTATTGAAAACAACAACAGCTATGCCGCCATCTGGCCGCAAGAAGGCAATCGTGTCCACATTGATATTCGTGCGCTCAGCAGCAATGCGAATAGAACCTTCCGGAGAAAATTTCGAAAAATGACCCATTGTATAGAATATCGGTTGCTTGTAAACCTCGACGCGATCTGTTAAAAATACATACATATTTGCATAGCATAAGCTCACAAAAATTGCACACTTTCTTCAAAACTCGATGAACTCAAAATGTCACATTTATCAAATCGCACGTTTAATAATTTGGAAAAGTATGTAAATCAAAATTTTCGATTTTGCAGATTTTATCATACAATTAATATGCTTGATAAACAGAATAAGTTTCAATCTAGCAGACTTTCCATAAATGGAGAAGATATGTGTCTTTTCATCTGTCTTTTTGTACACTAATTGAAATTTTGCAATTATTCTCTATATTATTTAAATGTTCATATGTGTATTAGGGTGTATCGCAAACAAAATCGGTACTGTTTTTTCTATCGAAATTATAAAATTTATTATATTATAGAACAGCCGCCAGCCGTGAGCTGGTCCTATTTGAAAATATATATGAATATATGTATCTCAGAAAATCTACTTTTTATAGACAAAACTAGTTTAAATTTTTTTTTCCAAAAATCATTCTTTTGAAGCACTTCATATCAAAAAACCTGAATCTTTGAGTTAGTTGAGTTTTGAAAATATTTCATACCGCTAAGAAGATTTACGTACTTGTCATATTGGCAATGACTGGCGCATCGACAAAGTTTTCCACATAATTCGGTCCACCCTTTTCATCCAAAACTATATTCCAATCAAGCCATCCATTGAATTCTTGTTGTAGATTTTGTAGGAAAGAACGTGCATATTTCTCAGCACGCTTCCAGGATCCTAAAATAGGTGCGGACTTTTGCCAAGGCTTATCGCCAATGCACGATTCCGAAATAAGCATTATTTTATCAGGCATTGCTTTATGCACGATATCAATAAGTACAGGCTTGAAAATCTCATCCCAATACCAATGTACTGTCAATCCTCCAAGGTAATGAAGTGAATCGGCGCGCGATGCATTCATCTAAAAAATAGCCATATATGTATGAATGTAAGTAAGCATGTATGTATATAAATTAAGTATTTTGTATATGTATGCACACAAGTATATGAAAAGTGCACTCACAAATTTCATCCAAAACGCTAAGGTATGACGCTGATCATCAACGCCAAATATAAGCAAATCCTTGTATTTAGAGCGAATTGTTGGACCAAAGTTCTCAGACAACCAAATTGCCTATGATAAATAAAACAAAACACGACCAATCGTACTAACTCTACACTTTTCCAAATCCAATGCACACTTACCTGCTTCCTGGGTGTCCAACCTAAACTCATAAATCTAAGGAAGTACATTAGATAGACGCCATTCGTTGGTTCATTGCCGGTAGATATAGCCCAAAGTGGTAAGCCATTCTCTTCCCATAATTCTAGCCAACGCAAATGATAATCGGCCCATGTCTGATAGTACTCCTTTTTCAAGCGACTCGATCCGGTCCATGCGTTGTTGGTTTTCATCCAACGTGGTGGACTCCAAGCGGCAGCCTTAATTCGCAAATTTTCCACATTCGAAACCAGCTTCAAGTGTTTAATTTGCTCAATCCGTTTCTCTTCGCGTGGATCTAATTTGGTAAAATTGCTAAGCGTGGTCTCGTTTTCAGGCTGCTCATTATACGCCCAGGGCTCTAAGTCAAAATCACAACCACCGATTGGTGTGCGCATCAAATTGAAACCAATGCCGCTTTGCGAATAGAAGGACCTAATGTTAAAAGTTTTCATAATTTAGTAAATGTAAATAAATTAATATATTTTTTTTCATTTATTTCAATACTTGTATAAGTGATCTTGCAGTTCTTGTGGTAAGTTCTCCAGAAGATAGCTTACAGAACCCGTAAATGAGCCGCCAAAGCCGGTGATATTTTGAAAACGTTTCTCACGGTCAACTTTTATTTTTACGCTTCTGGTTGCTGCTGTAGAAAGAAAGGAGAAATAAAGATATTCTTTAAGTAGACATAGTGCTTATCTTAGCTTTAATCTCACTCACATATTGAAAAGATTTGACTATAGATTTTATTATTTCTTAATTTCAATCTTTCGTCCATAAAAATATAATTTACTCTTTAACAATTACCGCAACGCTGCCATAGATGGTCCCAAGCCCGGTTTAAGAGAAGAGAAGGCGCGACACAACGGGCATCATGAAGGTGACGAGAAGAACTCCCTCGGCGAAACCCGTTGTAGCCTTCCCAAAACTAAGGTAGTTGAAAGTATGCCGATGGTTGAATGAAATGAATGAAAGCGGGGCAACCAAAAAACACATCTACATACACTCGGACAGCAGAGCGGCGCTCATCGCTCTTAAAGCGCACGAGGTCACCTCAAAGCTGGTCTGGGACTGTCCTCAAATTTTAATACTGATCGCCTCCAGGAACCGGGTATACCTCATATGGGTACCGGGACACAGTGGAATCATGGATAAGTGGCAGATATTCTCAGCAAAAAAGGGGTTGCACAGAGTTTCATAGACCCAGAACGCTTTACCGGTCTTCCATGCAGCTCCGTTACGCGAAACTACTATATCTGGATCAAGAACGAAACACAACATTACTGGACAAATACGGAAGGTAACAGATAGGCCAAGCCCTTCATTCTAGATATATCAACAAGGAGAACCGTAGAACTCCTTCGCCTCTGTAGGCATGAATTAAGAATTGTTACAAACACTTTTACTGGCCACTGTAGGGTAATAAAATACTTGTCAAATATAGGAGTTGTTAATTCTGGCCAGTGTAAGTTGTGTAACGAACAACAGGAAACAGCAGAGCACATTATGAGCCACTGTGAAACCCTTACCAGGACCAGACTTCACTCCCTAGGATCACCATACCTAGAAGCACACGACTTAAATGGCATTCAGCTAGAGGACATCGTGAGGTTTATTAGCAGTACTTGGATCAAAGATGACCTGTAGTTGAATAGAAGTTTGTTACAATAGACCGTTTCGATTGCGGTAACTAGGTGACCTGCTCTCTCCTCTAAATCTAATTTAGTCTATTCTAACAAATACCATATAAATCCAAGTTTTAATTTTCGTCCAACATAAAAAAAATCGACAAACTTTTATAAAAATGTTGAGCTTTTTAGTTAAAAACTGTTGCTCATTTTTCCCCTTTTAAAAAAATCAAAGTATATACTTCGTATGGAACAAAACGACTAACATCGTAAACAAAAAATAATTGCCCAAAATCGACGGAGTTTTTTAAATATTCAAGAAACCTTGAAGCTTGGATTTTTACGGTCTTTGTTAAAGAATAAACCAGGGCCGAGAATGCGTTCCATTTTTGGTTTAGTTCCTACAAAAGACCCAAAACGGGAACAAAAGTATTGAGAGCAGTTTGAACGTGAACAAAATGAGAACAAAAGGTTGGGGAACGTTTCCGTAAAGATCAAAATGCGAACAAAACTCTAGGGAACGTTCTCAAGAAAAACAGAATGACAGCGAATCTTTCGGGAACGTTTCCAATGAGAACAAAATAAAACGGAAGTATCGATAACGTTTTAAAGGAGGATCAAATAAGAACAAAAGTCTAAGGAACGTTCTGCTAGAGCACCCTCTCTAGGAGGTTGCGAGCTGAATTAAATACCCTGCATTCTTTTTTTGTTTGTTTAAAAATATTTCTTTATTTTTATTTGCGAACTCATCTCAGCTACTTATGAATGGTTTTAATATATATTAATGGCCGTTATCCTCCTGTAGCTCTTTTGGAACGAAGAGATATAGTTCTTTTTTAATTTCGCAGACCTTCCATCATGCTAGGAATATAATCGCTCACCAATTTATTGGATAAATGAAACAGCAGTTGTTGCAGAGATGTTGGCCACATTTCAATTTTTGAAATAAATGCTTTTTATTTATCTTTGGCTTATATAATGTTTTCGCCTCTCCCGTGCAAACTCTCTTTTGAGACGTTCGAGCGAAGAAAAATGTACAATTAATAAAAAAATTCGATTCGCCTTTTGAAAAACATGTTAAATTCCGAGCTCAATTCAATTACTCTTGCCAACACATTTCGTTTGAATAAAGAAGATTTTAATGGAGGGCACCCATGTATTCACACCCCATACGAAACAACCTTGGTTGTATAGCTAAGAGGTCACCAAAATGTTTGGAAGTCATTTTGAGGTCGTGTGCTTCAAAAAGTTTGAAGACCACTGCTCAAGAGAACAAGACGAGAACAAAAGTTTTGACAACTTTGCGTTAAGAGTGAGAGGGTCATCTGCGTTTTGGGATGAAAAATCGTTTCATCCAGAACCATAATTTTTAATTCTAAGTCACAAGCAAGCTGAATCATTTCAATTTCCAGATCGTTTATCATTCGGGTGAACTTCCTATTTAAGGTACAATTTTTCATTTTCTGCGTAAGAAAAGTTCGTGTCTTAAGTCTTTCGTTTACTTTATTTGCATAATTATGTTTTAGTTTTTTTTGATTAATTTTAATATTCAAATATTTCAAACTATTGTAGCGTCATTTCGTTCTCTGTCAAAAAGCTCCTGAAACCTGGTTCCCAATTTGTTCTTTCAGAGAAAATTCCTTAGACTTTTGTTTCTGTTTTGGTCTTTGCCAAAACGTTTCGACGGCTTTTGTTGCCATTTTGTTCTCTTAGAAAATGTTCCCGAAAGTATTGTTCACATTTTGTTCTCTTTGTGAACGTTCCAAAGGTTTTTGTTCTTATATAATTCCCATTGAGAATGTTCTCGACAGTTGTGTTCTCATTTCAGTTTTACTTTTGAAGCGTTCTTGAAAACCAAAATACGAGAACGACATTTAGTTTCAATCATCGCTTTTGCTCTCAGTCCCTGGAATAAACTACACCTTTTTTAAAAAAGAAAAATAATTATAAAAAAAAATTGCCAAACCTTGTCAATATGTGAGTGTCGTATAAATATATATGATAAGTACTATATATTTAATTAGCATGTATACTCGTATTCGTAAGAGCTTACTTGAAAATACAACACATTCCGGCATCACTCCCGTTAACTTAGATGCAAAATGTCAATTCAAAAATGCTAATCGAATCTGAGTTTGCATGCTATACTTTACCTTATGATAATGCTCTCACTGCCTTAAGTACATGTTATTACTTAGTCAAAATTTTAAAATATTTTAAATTACAAAATAAAAAGACTAACTAGCCAACAAAATTCCCGGAAACTTATCCGAAACAATTCCTTATAAAAAAAATGATATTTCATCCGGTTTCCAGTTACATTTTCGGTCGTTTTTCGGATACCTTGTTCCTGTAGAGAGTGAGAGATAACTTTCGTATCATAAAAACGTGACGCATTGTTAGAACAGTTTTTCCCGACAAGGTATAAGAGGTAAAAAATAGACATATAATCGGCGATAACTTTCATAGAAATTCCATTTCGAATTAGTGATTTCCGAGATCCGATATAGTTAAACTCGTATAATTTTTTTTTTTTGTTGAACGAAATTAACTTTTGCATATTCAACTATACAATTGTAAATATAAATTGGTAGTTAAATTCTTGTTAGTGGCTAAGTTGCCTATTGATTTGAATTATGCTCTGTGAATTCGGCCCTAAAATTTTTATTATATGCTTGAAACATGAGAAATGATTGTCGTAATACAATTTCTAACTCGAATAACACCAATAAATAAAAAATATATACATACTATGTACATACATATTTGGTGACAATTAATAGACGAGAATATGTAATCTTTATTACTTACCTTTTTCAAATGCCACTGTGTCCCAGAACGCGTGTTTAGCGGTATCATTGCGCTCGTCATAATCTGCAATGCGTAAACTTTCGGAAGCATTAATCAGACCACTCGTAGTTTCAAAGCGTAGGCCAGCCTATAAATATAAAGAGATATTTATGTATATATGGACATATGTACTAGTAATTATCTAACACTTTAATTCGCTATTATGTTTACATATCAGTTCGTAATACCAACATATTGTATGCGATCTTTAAAAGCTTAAACAGACGACAGCGTTGATCCGGACTAACTCGAACTTAGTCCGGATCAACTACAGTTAATTCCCGAGTTGATCCGGATCAACGCTGCCGTCCGTTTACGCTTTAAGAGTGTATTAGGTGCCTTTCATCGCTGGTATGGGACATATCGTAAGATTTTTTTTTTTTAAGTAAAGACAAAGTAAAAAGTTGAAAAACAAACTATCTTCTTGTATTAGATTACGTTTTATTGGAGAGATACTAACCAAAAAAGTTAATTGTAAAAACAAATATTTTTAAAGCAAACTTTCTAAATATGAACGAAATCGAACCATAAAATCTGGTTTACCAAATATATCGGCTCGTGCGCCACCTATCGGCAAAAGTTTTAGTGGAGTTATTCCTTTTCATGCAGTTAATATACTTTCTAAATATGATAATCGGACTATAAATAGGGATTTTTCAAATATCTCGACTCCGGCGTCATTTATCGGAATAATGCATATTTTATATTGCATTGTTATCGGATTCTGAGTCAACTGTGAAGTCTTAAGTCTGTAGGTCATCGGGAAGTTGGTCAAAAATTTATTGCAAGATATGCCCCTAAAACATCATACATACATACATACATACATATGTACATTAGACTGCATCACCAAAAAAAAAATGCAATTTTTCCGCGGGATTACAAAATTTATTATATTTTAAGACGTGCACCAAAATATTTCGGAAAAATATCAAGCGTGAGCTGCACCGATTTAAAAATACATCCAAAAATTAAGTTTTTTAAGAATAAGAATAGTTTCTCAAAGAACTTTTTGAAAAAAGTTCCCTCAGATGACAAAACAGATAAGAATTAAAAAATCTGCATAAAAAAATTTAAAAATCTTTTCAACGGAATCGTAATAATGAGATTTTTGATGCTGTTTTTTTTACTTGTTTCTATTCTGATTTAGACTTATGGTACCTCAGTAGAAAGGTATTTTCAAACTATTTTTTTCTTCTGTTCAAAAAAACTCATTCGTATCCCATTTTTAATTTTTTTTATTCCAACACATCTTAATTCAACTTTGAATGACGTTCGTTCATCCTACCTTTTTATTTCTTTGTTAGCAGTGATATAAAAAGGATAAGAAAATACCTTTCTAATGATACCTCACAAGTCTCAATCGAAAGAGTAAATATTCAGTTATTCAAGTTTTTCTTATACCAATCTTTTAAATTTTTTTAAAATATTTTTATGCAAAATTTTTAAGCTTAAACCGTTTTGTCATTTGAGGGTTATTTTCTCAAAAAAAAATCTTGAAGAAACATTTTTTATTCATAAAAAACTCTTTTTTTGAAGGTATTTTTAAATCGGTCCACCTCACGTAAATCTTAATATTTTTCCGAAATGTTTCGATGGACATCTTAAAATATAACAGATTTTATAATTCCAATGAAAACACAATAGCGATTTTTTTTTTTGTATGGAGAGTGAGGCAGTCTAATGTACGTACATACATACAGAACAAGTCCTGTGTGTACGGAAGGTGAATCTTAGTTACAGTGTGTTATGTAAAATTTCAGCAAAATTAATGATAATTATGAAAAAAGCTTATAAAAAATAACGTTTACGAACATCAATATTAGTTAAAACAACAAAAGTTACAAACACATTTATTTCACAAAAGTTTAAAGAATTATAATGAAATTGTTTTACGGGACTAAATAGTACGAAGCATCTGTTTCATAAATTTAGAATTTGACCGCTTTACGCCCATTCACTGATATTTCTTGAAAGTCAAATATGTACTCTGGGTATGGGCTTCGTTGATGTCCAGAGATGAAAATGATTGATGAAGCTTAATTAATCTATTTTGTTATAAAAAAAGTTTTGTCATTAGGTTTATATTAACCCAACCAGCAAAAAATCCGAAAACCAATCCGAAAAAGGAAAAAAATGGAAGAAATGCGGATTCAATACGCCTTCCTTTTGCACTTCACAGATACTCTTTCATAGTTCAAAAATAAAAAATTAGTAAGCGCCTGACGGAATTCAAACCCGACACCTTCTGGAAGCTAACAAATAGCGTCACGCTCTGCACGCTCAGCCACTGCCAACTACGTAAGCATGCTTTCCAATGTTTAGCTTGAACAACTAAAATCAATTTTTGCTTTCAAATAACATCATCCTTTTCGAACGTTTCAAACGTTTTCCAGATGCATCCGGATGCGGAAATGTTAAATAACTGTAGTTACACCTAGAAAAAAAATCAGGTAAATATATCTCTCTCAACACATGACTTGGTTATAGTCACATTATTTGGTTGTAACTACATATGTTAAGAGAAATATTTTTAGCTGACCTTTTTCTGTGTGTACGGAAAATTGTACTAGACAGCACTGTCGACAAAATTGGCGTTTCATTGCTGGCTGGGAATTGAAAGATCAAAGTTATATGCTAACTTATGTACCTACATATCTATGTATATATTTAAAAAACATTTCCGCAGAAAAACGCGAATTTGGTGCTGTGGTTGTTGTTGTAAAGTAAAATCTATAAAAATTCGATTTTGTCAAGAACGATAGAATACAAGAGTGCTTAGTCTGACAGCGATGACGTATGGTAAGTATTTGAAAACAAACAAGAATAGGAGGAAAACGGAATCTGCGAAACTGTGCATTTTCGTAACCTTCAACTATTCGATAAGTTAAGGGGTTTAATTTTCTTAAAGTGTAAAAATATATGAATTTTAGGAAAAATAATTAAAAACAAATATTAAATATCGATGCATTCAGTGAAAATATTACTTCAGTGATTTCCGGGGAAATAAGGTTGGTGCGGAAGCACTTCCTATCGTAAATCGTTCAAAACATCCTTCGTTTTTTTGCGGTGTGTGGTCCCGCATTGTCCTGTCGCAATAACGGACACTTACGCAATTTTCCAGACCGCCTGTCACAGTCGTCCATTGAATAATATCTTATGTTTTCACACCCTGTTTCCACAAAAAGAAAATGATTGTGATTGAGATTTTGCTGCGTCCTTCGTGCTTACAGAAACAGTGCTATGAAAACGCGTCTATATTAGTCGAACACCTAAATCAGACTGAACAATATTGCACTAGGTAGTTGCATAAACATGTCAAGACTTGTATGGCACTAATAACATTGCCTATAAGTTCTGCGTAATTCCCAGAACTTTGGAAACATCCCTCGTACATATATGTATATCCTCACCTGAATAAATTAATATCGTATGTTACATTTGACAACTTTTGGGACATCGCAATTGAAGTTAGGAACTAAATTTTTAAAGACCGCAACGGTAAATTTTCTCCACAACAATAAATTTTTTGTCGTTTATTGTAATAATATTGGCAACAATTTTATAGTAATGTTGTATAGCATACGTCAAAATGTGATAACATTTTTTACTAAATTGACGATAAAGTTTAACTTAAGGAGATATCTAAAACATATGACATCATTTGCAAGATCTTGATTAGTTTAGTATAACTGCATTATTAACTAATTTTGGCCCAATTTTCACATACGACATTCATTTATCTGGGCGACGATGTAATCATTTTGCCATAGTTTACCTTCGACGTGGATACTACAACGAATTCGCTCTCATTATTTGGTGTTGGATCGTCCAAGTAGTCACAATATGTGGCATTGCAAATGCAAACAAAACCTTTTTTGTACATTCTCAGTTGGCATGGCGTAGTTTCTTGCGTTGAGATCACTGAAATATTAAAATTTAAATTCCATCAGCAAATTAAGTAGATAATTGTTTTAACACCGATAGTCCTCTGCAATAACGGCACAACTCACGATTCAAAAAAATACCTTACTACTGTTAAGTTTCGAATTTCTCCTAATCCTTCCTACTTACTTTAGTAAGGATTAGACATGGATTATACAACAATTAGAAACATGAGACATTTAACAATAATAAGGGATCGTTTTTTTGTGCCGTTATTTATGCTTACATATATATATCACAGTGACGAAAGCAGCAACAGTAGCATGCTGAAATGCTGAAATGACTCGCTTATATATACACGAGATTTGGAGGTTTTTATTCAGACGTCCAATCGACATGTTTGAGGTATAGTTGGAAAGGTCTTGCAGAGTGTGTCCAGAAAATGTATTCAAGCTTCATAAACGATTAACCGGATTCTTAAAAATTAGGCTAAAGTGTTGCAAAACAAAAAACGTTTTTTTGCTTTTGCCGGTTTAAGGGGCCGTGTGGGTACACCCAACATATTTAGTGTTATTCTATAGGCCAATACCTCTCAAACGATACCTTATATACTAAGTGCTGGCTACAAGTTGGAAAGATATAGAGGTAAATGTGTTTTGGTATGTGGCGTCTGTACGTACCTTCATTTAATTTTCTTCAAACTTTCAGGAATTAAAGTACAAAAAAAAACTAAGAAGGTTTTGTTCCAGGATATCTTGATTCGTATGCCTTTGTGGGCGTGGCTGCTGCCTGAAATTCGAAAAAGGCAATTTTTAAACTACCACTGAGGCGGCACTACTCAGTCCATGCCATTGTTGTGGATATCAGTAGAAGGGTCTTCAAACAAGCTATCTAACGCTATCTTTTGTGTTTATAAAATATAAACATGTCATAACTTTACCGCCTGAACACTAAAGATCGGGCTGCTGAAAATATACATTTCGGGCATTTTCTCAAAAACTGGTCAGTCGATTTTATCCTAAATTTCCACAAACCCAAAACCTTAGCTTTCATCTGGTATATAGCTTATCTCTGGGAAAACTCTTGTTGTGGAGATATTGCTATTCAAATTGAAAAAATGTCGCTCCAAAAAGGGTCAAACGGTTAAAAATTAACATATCCGTCTAATTGGGTTACTTTAAAAATAACATACCCAATTCCCCGAAAACAATTGCTCATTCCCGGATTGCCACTTAAACCGAAATTCCCTGCAAATCGGGGGATTTCCCGCGAGTTGACAAGTTGAAGGATGCAGCTGAGCTTAATCACTTCGTGCATGTCTTGGAAACCACAATTTGTGTGTATTTTAAAGTTTTTTCAGTCATATGCCGAAATTGTAACATTTTTCCCCATTTTAATTGCAAGTATGCACTTAACCTTCCTGGGAAGACGCGTACAATATTACCTACAGTTGTACATAAATATGTATGTACATTTAGTTCACCCAATGTGCCGCTACTACTTATGTACATACGTATGTATAAATTGCCACTGAGCAAAACTACTTGAGAAAAAAGCATTAGTTTAATATCACGAGTGCAATACCGTAAACGTGATTGAAGTAAAACTAAACTACGAGACAATCAGACGAATACAATTGTTTACTGTATCCAAAGGATATGATCATTCTTTTTCGCTTTATTCCGTATTTGAAAAATTATGTGTTTCAATATACACATCGATTTGAATACATAAGTGAGATTTACAAAAAAAAAATGTTTTTAGCAATTTATTTGTTTGTATTTTCGTCGATTTTAAAATAATTGATATCAAATAAAACACCTCTTTGAGGTAAAATTTTCGAGTGACGAAAGCTGAACTAGAAACCAGGGTATGAAAATAAACTATATTGTACGTTACTATTTCGTTTCGTTTATTACTTCAACAGTTCGGTACAATACGAAAACAAAACGGCTGAGTTCACTTTGGCGATAGTACACTACAGTAGTTTAGTAGTTACAGACGAAACAACAAACAAAATGAATCGTGCAGAGAAAAATATATATATGTATGTACACATATCCAATAACTAAACACAAAACAAATAGCTGCAATGAATAAAAAAATAAAAATGTGTTTAATTGAATTGGATATGAAAATTTACAGAAAAAAATATTTTTCACGTAATTGAAACATTTGTGATATCACCCTATGGCACAATTGTCACAAACGAAAAGCAAACGTTTCTAGTTGGGGAAAATGACAGTGAATCTTACAAATTGTTTCTGACTATGTACAAAACTGTACAAAACCACAAATGATATGATGATCGATGAGCAAATGGGAATTGTTTCGTACAGTTTATTTTCGTACTCTGCTAGAAACGCAAAATTTATGATATCAATTTCGCGACGAAAATTATACGCATTTTTTAACTGCCTTTGAAACGTACGGAAAATCTTTTATTATTTATTTGGAACGTTGCGAAATTCCGTCTACTGCTAGAAACACAAAATAAAAAACAGAAGTTTTGCAACGATTCGTATGAATAAAAAAGATTTTCCCTACGTTTCCAAGGCAGTTAAAAAATGCATATAATTTTCATCACGAAATTGATATCATAAATTTTGTGTTTCTAGTTTAGCTTTCGTCGTTCGAAAATTTTACCTCAAAGAGGTGTTTTATTTGATATGCTTTAGAATGATATAGAAATGGTGCTGTTAATTGAAATTCAGAGGCTCCGCTGGCTTGGCCATGTCGTTCGAATGGACAGAAACGCTCTTGCTCTGAAAGTATTCAACGCGGGCTTCGATGCTGGTAATAGAGGAAGAGGAAGGCCTCCTTTGCGTTGAAAAGTCCAGGTGGAGAAAGACTCGGCTTCACGTGGCATTTCCAATTGGCGTCAGTTAGCACAGAAGGGAAATGACTGGCGTGCTGTTTTGGAATCGGCCAAAATCGCTTAGGCGGTTACAGCGCCAATAAAGAAGAAGAAGGTAGAACCTTCCACTTAGGCTTAAATTAAAGCCAGAACTCTCGACTACTGTTCCTGTAAATATTGAACAATAAAAAAAAAATACTGGAAAATTCCGCTAAATGACTATACGTAACCTTAGGGTTAAGGTCAGGAATGGTATTTTAAGGGATTGTAGTCGAAAGTTCAAGCCTAAAATTAAGCCTAAATGGAAGGTTCTATCACCTATTGTTTAACTGCTGTAGGTACTCAAACTTTTAAACAAGTAATTTTAAGTGGCCGTCAAGTCAAGGTGCAGGAATGGTATTTTCAGGAGTCAGTAGTCAACAGCTTTAATTTAGGCCTAAGTAAAAGGTTCTTCACCTTTTTTCTTTGCCAAAGCTTCTAAAATATTGCAAAAAACGCATTTTTGTAACACTTTGACATCGTTTTTCTCAAAATCTGGAGCTGATGGAAAGTTTATAGTTGCGGATTCGTAATCAGCACAAACGAGTCTATCAAAAACTGTTTTAACACTTACCGCACCAAAATTGTTTTCCATTTTTGTTGGCCTGTGTAATTTTATGAAAGAGATATGCGGAAGAAGGAGTTCGATGTCCGTTAACCCAACCAAAACTAGTGTGGTGCTATTTATTAGAAGGAGAAGGTTGGATCGACTTGTTTCCCCTGACCGTAAAGTCATTATTGAAATTTCTTTTGAAGTAAAGTATTTAGGTGTAATCTTAGATAGTAAACTTTTATCGAAGACTCACGTCGAGCAAAAGCCCTCCAAAGCCTTAAAAGCGTTCTGGCAATGTAAACGGGTCTTCGGTAAAACGTGAAATCTGGCCCTTAGTGGAATCCTTTGGAAGTGGCCTGGCACTCTGGCAAAAGAGAGATTAGCTCAGGCAACGGCTGTCGAAACGACTGTTGCTTAAGCTAATCAGCTCTTTTGCCAGAGTGCCAGGCCACTTGCTCAAATTGGTGAATACCCACATATCGTCGTTTAAAGTACAAAACCGCGAATCGTAATTCGGCAAAACCGCGTAACTTATATTTGCTACCAAAAATTGGATTTGCTCACACAAGCTCTTGGCTCAATCCTTATCCATTCGTCCTGAAATATACTAGGCAGAAATGCGATTGCTTCATAAAAAAGAGAACCGTTTTGAATTATGATTGTTTTTACTATATAGAAAATAACTTATGCAACCTCACATACGCGATTTTGCATTTTGTTGATACGCGGTTTTGTACTTTAAACGACGATATATCGTTACAAATCATATACATGCGTATGTAGCGTTTACCACTTTGTGCCTTCGGTATGCTTAAAGTTTTTGGATTCTCGTACATACTGATTTGAAGCCAATTTCTCGAATATAAGATACTGTCTTTTCAAACAGGTGGCAACCCTTTTCAAAATATATTCGAATTACAGCTTTTTTAAGCCTCTTGACATCCATTTTTTATACCCGAGCGTACTGGTGCACAAGGGTATATTAATTTTGTTCACATAACGGTTGTTTGTAACAGCCAAAACGAATCGAGATAGATATAGACAAATGTATACATAAATGCTCAGAATGAATAGAGAAGTCGATTAAGCCATGTCTGTCTATCCGTCCGTCTGTCCGTCTGTCCGTGTACACGATAACTCGAGCAAAAATTGAGATATCTCAACGAAATTTGGTATGTAGTTTAACGTTAATCCAAGGTAGGTTGGTATTGAAAACGGGCGAAATCGAACAGTAACTACGCCCACTTCCCATATAACAGTAATTTCCAGAAATACGAAAACTGCGATATTTTAGTAGCTACTGACGATAATTCACTCAAAATTGATATATACAATACATTTCAGACGAAAAATAAGAATGTTATAAATTTTTAGTATATGGGCGTTGCCACGCCCACTTATGGTTACATGTGCATCTCTTGGTAACCGCTGCACCAATTTCTTCCAAACTTGGCACAGTTGATGGCCTTGGTACAGCATACTAAAGGCCGAAAATATAAAAAATCGGACAATAACCACGCCCGCATCCCATATAACGGTAATTTAAAGAAATACAAAATCTTCGATAAATTAGATAATATCAAAGCTAAT